GGGTTGCAGGTGGGGTCCCCAGATGGCGGTGTGCAAGAGGCAACTGATCCATGTTGCTCTCTCACTTCAATGTTTCTCTCCCTCTCTTTCTACCTCCCTTCCCCTCTCTAAAAATAAATAAATAAAATCTTTAAAAATATACAGTTGGAATGCTGGAAATACTCCTTCTTCACCCCTATATCTAGTTTGGGTCATTTACTAAATATTTTAATTCAGTTCTATAACATCTGGAGAAATTTTATTACTTTAGGCTACAGTGAATTTTGAAGTTATTTACCTCATCACCTATTCTGTTTGGAGTGAATTTTTAAAATATCTTAAAATATACTAATATAAAACTTAGATTTACATATTACATGAAACTTAAAAGAAATTCATGATTGTGGCAGGTCCTTTCACCTCCAGAGACGTTCATTGACTTCTACCTTAGAGCTAATTCAGTAAAATATTTGAAAAACAGTACCCATTAGTTTTTAACTTTTTTCTATAGGAACATATGGTCTCATGAGTGTGAAACACTTAGACATACTAGATTTTAATGGTTAGAAGAGTAGATATAAATAGGGTTTAGCATAGATCATGGAAAGTTCCTCTCCAACTGATATCTCAGTTCTCAACCACTGCCTTAGAAAATTTTAACGTGCATGTCCTGATAGAAACTTTTTTTTTTAAAAAAAAGCAATTTAGTCAGCTAAAATTCATTAACAGAGCTTATTATTTAAAAGACACCTATTTGTATCTTAATAGGAACATAATTAATCACCTCCAGTTGTAGAGTTTGATTTTCAAGTATCTAATTTGCTTTAAATTAGTGCATCTAAAACTTTAATGTACCCACATATTACATGGGGATCTTGTTAAAGTGCACACTCTGATTCAGCAAGTCTTGAATAGGGTCTGAGATTCTGAATTTCTACCAAGCTCCATCCAGGGTGATGCAGGTGATGCTGCTCCAGGATCCCCGTTTTGAGTAGCAAAGCCTTAAATGGTTCTCCTCTAGCAGTGCTTCTCCTGTTTTGAACCTTACTGCTTCTAAAGCTGCTGCAGACTGGAAGCATCAACTAAGCTTGCAAAATTAATTTTGAATAAGAAGTCAGTAAAATCTTGAGAGGCAGCCTTACTTGTTATTTGGGATTTCCTAGTACCTTTTTTATACAGGTGTTTGAGATTATGATTTAGAAGGCTGATCTCTAGAAAAATGAGGTATTATTCGTCTAAGCATGATATAATATTGTGTACATAAATATGTGGTTTAGATCAGAAAACAAAAATGGCAGCAGACCAGATGTGTTGAGAAGCTAATATAATAACATGGTAGGAAAGTGATGTGGGGCTAATCTTAAGTGATAATAGGAAAATGAATAGTTATTTTTTTTAAATTTATTTTATTGGTCAAATACATTTGTCTCCATTTTCCTGCCACCACCTTCCCTTGTCCCCCTGACCCCTCCCTCCCTCAATCCTACCCCACTTTGGCTTTGTCCATGGGTCCTTTATACATGTTCCTTGACTTGACCTTTCCCCTTCCTTTCCCCACCATCCCCTCCCTCCTTCCCTCTTGTTATGTTGGTTTCTTTTTTCTTTCAGTGTTGCTGGTTATATTTTCCTTGCTTATTTGTTTTGTTCATTAGGTTCCACTTATAGGTGAAATCATATGGTATTTGCCTTTCACCACCTGGCTTATTTCACTTAACATAATGCTCTCCAGTTCTATCCATGCTGTAGCAAAGGGTAGTAGCAATTCCTTTCTTTCTGGTGCATAGTATTCCATTGTGTAAATGTACCATAGCTTTTAGATCTACCCATTTACTGATGGGCACTTAGGTAGCTTCCAGCACCTGGCTATTGTAAATTGTGCTACTATGAACTTTGGGGTGCATAGGTTCTTTCGTATTGGTGTTTTGGTGTTCTTAGGGTATAGTCCCAGCAAGGGAATCACTGGATCAAAAGGCAGTTCCATTTTTAGCTTTTTGAGGAAATTCCACACTGTTTTCCACAGTGGCTGCACCAGTCTGCATTCCCACCAACACTGCACTGGGGTTCCCTTTTCTCCACAACCTCGCCAGCACCTGCCATTTGTTCATCTGTTTATGATGGCCATTCTGACTGGTGTGAAGTGGTATCTCATTGTGGTTTTAATTTCCATCTCTCTGATGACTGGTGATGATGAGCATCCTTTCATATGTCTCTGGGTCCTCTATATGTCCTCCTTGGAGAAGTGTCTGTTGGGTCCTTTGTCCTTTTTTTAATTGTATTGTTTGTCTTCCTGGAGTGGAGTCGAGTGAGTTCTTCATATATTTTGGAGATCAAACCCCTATCTAGGTATCATTGGCAAATATATTTTCCCATATGGTTGGTTCACTTTTCATTTTGCTGATGTTTTCTTTAGCCTTCTGAAAAAGAATTAGAGGTGTGCATGTATGTGTGACAGCGGAGGTGGTGATAGTAAGAAGTTTATTCCAAGGTTTTTAGTTTGAGCATCTTGGTAAGCAGTGGTGCTCTGAATTATGAGAGCCTATTAGGAGAAACAGCCTTGGGCAAGGGGGATACTGGGGAATTAACTTTCGTTTTGGACATTCTGTATTTGAGGTATTTATAAACCATATGCATAGGTTGTATAGTGTCATGATTGGCATTGACAAATCTAGGTTATAATCCCAGCTCTGCTATTTACTTAACTATGTGATTTTAGGCAAGTGACTTAACTTATCTGAGCTTCCTGTTCTTTATTAATAAAGTAAGGATGTAAAAATGTGTATTTATTAATGAGGATTAAATCTCTCTCTCCATGTATATATTTATATAAAAATTTCCTGTTTGGTACCAGCAATGATATCCAAAGCAGTTTGTAATTCCAGTCCTTCTTCCCCAAAAACAAATTACATTAATGTATACAACTGAATATTGAATAGAGTGACATGTTCTGTTTTTTACAGCACCTTCAGAAAAATAGTTTTATATGTGAAGGCTTGAAATATAGTTTATGAACAAGCCAAAATTTATGTCATAGGAGTAGTTTAAATTCAAAAAATGTTTTTTACATAATCAGTGAAATGTTTACTAAAACAGGAGCTCTCTAAATGCACTTGCTGAGGTAAAAGTGGGAAGCACGTTGAGCCTATCTGGACTGGGCTGGAGAATAAAGAGGCAAAGGAACCACCCAGTTCTGGACAGCACTTGCCACAATTTTACTTTTTTAAAAGATTTTATTTCTTTATTTTTAGAGATGGGAAGAGAGGGAGAGAGGGAGCAAAACATTAATTTGTGGTTGCCTCTCACACGCTCCCTGCTCGGGACCTGGCCAGCAACCCAAGTATGTGCTCTAAACTGGGACTCAAACCATCAACCCTTTGGTTCACAGGCCAGTGCTCAATCCACTGAGCCACACCAGCTAGGGCTATGCTTTAAGGGTATTGGAAAAGAATGTGGTTTGATAAGTAAGGAAATAAAAAAGGAAAGGAAAGGCTGGGGGAAAGGACACATCACATCTCTCCACATGGGCTGCATTTACTGATCTTTCACCAGGAAAAGGAATTATCTTCCTTAGTACACATCCAAATTAGGAAGGCTTTTTTTCCCTGGGAGACATTGCAGTTTGGGAAGATTGCTCCTTTCCATCCTCTTCAGAAAGCTGTCATGGGACTCTTTTTACTGACTTTTAATAGAAGAGAGTTGTAAATTGACACTTTACTAGCCCCCAAGAAAAATATCTACCTGTAGCACACGTCTGCCTCTCTTGAGCTGGCCCACATCTTGCTAAATTTATGCCAGAGACACTGCTCCAAGGCAAAGTTCTTAAGCTCCATGACTTGGCTTTGGGTGTGCCCTATCCCACTTTCTTAGCCAAATGGCCTTGAGGCTTTATTCTCAAAATAGCTTCCCAAGAGCCCCTTGTCTTTTATACATTGCCTTCCAACTCCTTTCTTCTTATAAACCTGCCCTTCCTTTTTGTGCACTCGTTAATTTGGATGGGCTTAGTTATCACAATAAATAAAAAGGTCCCTCAAATAATTCCTCACTGCAATGTCATGCAAATCACCGAACACATTCACTTTAGTGTTTAAGCAGCTGTGTATTATTGCAAAGGTATAAATAGGTGAACGTTGCCCTAAAGCAGATTTTTTTCCTTAAAGAGGTTAGGAAAGAAAAATATATACTACTCATAATTTGTTTAGATCCTGAAAAGGAAAGTTTGATAGCAATTTGTGGCTGATTACAGTAAATAACAATATTGAGGAGGCAGTGGGTTAAGGGAAGGGCGTGCTCCATGAAGAAAACTGGGTGGCTTCTGGAGATTTTATAGTCTTCCTGTAAGGGCACAAAGAACTTAATCTAAGGAAAGTTTTGAATTAGACAAGAAATCGTATGGCTCCACTTCCTGTGTGACCAGACTTTTATAAAGATTACGTGACTACGCGAAATCTGCTTAGTGCTTAGTACTTAGTAAGAGCTCATTATATGTTAGTTGATGCTACTGTGACTTCCCAGAATGGGCCATTCCTTACTCCAAAATTCCATAAACTTTTTCTGCAGGCTGTAAAAGGATGAGAAGAAATGCTTTCATACCTGAGGCTCACTTATTTTAACATAAAAGAAAAAACTGCCTTAAACTTTAGATAGGCAAAATACACTTAAACTTGTGCCGAGACCTACTTTCACAGCACCCCACGCAGTTTTCTCTCTAGTGGATGGTGGGAAGTGTAGTTCCACACTCCAGCGGCGTGAGTACAGAAAAGCGCGTAGGAAACTACAATTCCCAAAAATAAAGAAGCGGGACTATTTCCCAGTCCGCCAGGTAGCGCAGTGGGCGGGAATTGGCGATCTCACTGCCTACGTGAAAGAGAAGGGAGGGCTGGGGGAAGCGTTGAAAACCCGACCCTGAGCCGCTGCCTACCGAGGAAGATTTGGTGGGAGGAAAAGTAAAAGGGAAAAGATGGATGGAGGGTGAGGTGAAGAAGGGATCTAGGTCGCAGCCCGCGAGCGGCACAACGTTCTTAGCGATGTGGCTAAAGCCTGAGGAGGTGCTCCTGAAAAACGAGGTGAAGCTGTGGCTGATGGAAAGGAAGACTAGTTCCTTCTGCAACGACGTCTGGGCTTGGATGGGGGGCGGGGCAGGCAGGGTAGGCGGGGTGGGGCTTATAGGTAAGTTTTGTAAACTTAGACTCCTCTCTAGGCCTTGGTCGCTGGTATTTAAAAGTTGGTGAGGGCAACAGTTAACTCCATCTGCCACTAGATCCAAAACCCTGCGTAGAGGTACTGGTGTTCTTTTCTACCTATCACCTTTGCATTGCCCTTCCCTAGTTCTGAGAATGCATCCCTGAATCAGCAGTTCCTCTTTAGGTGGAACTGGGAAAGGAGGGAGAGGCTCTTTCTGAGGTGAAGTACTTGCCCCATCGCTTCTCATGGGGGAGGGTGCTGATGACGAGTGTTAGACCTCCACAGGTCGCGTTAGGCTGACTGCCGGGCCACTTCGCAGCTGAGGGCTTACCTTTTGTCACAAAACCCCCTATTGATAATGACCACTTTGAGGAGTGTATGTTGCGGGGCAGGAAGGATGGTGAGAAAGAAAGGAGTCCCATCATGTCCTGAAGGACTGACTTCAAATAAAAGGTTGGGGAGTAGGAGGATGGCGAGAGAAAGGTCTCTCGAATTGCTGACCAAATTTAGCATTTTTTACTTCGTCTCCAGGGTTTCAGTTTGAAACCTTGGACTCCCCTTTGAAAGTAAGCGTCTTAGTTCATTTTCGTCTCAAGTGTTTGGTGCTGCCCTTTTCTTTCAAAGCCATGATTGTAAGCAAACCAATTAAACTAATAGAGATTTAACTCTCCCTGCCTAATCCATCCTGCCTTCAATTCATTGATTTACAAATCAAGAACTATTCCTCAGTCAAATGTTTAAAGTCACCAAAGAATTTTATTTTCAGACCAATTATCTTGGGTAGGGGTATTCAAAGTTTTGGATATTGGAAACACCAGAGCTCTTTTTTTGTGACAGTTTCTAGTTTGGTGTTGTGGTCTTGGAGTAGTGGACCAAGCTTAATTTAGACAGCATGATGTAGCAGAAAGAGGGAAGAGTCCAAAACCCTGCATTTTAGTCCCCTTCTCATCTCTTGTTAAATGGCATTTGACAGATATTTTTATTCCATCTTAAGTACCTACTATGTGCCACATGGAATGCTAGGGTACAAAGACAAGATTCACTTCCCTGCCTTGAAGTGCTCATAATCCTGGTAAGTGGGAAAGGGTCAGATTAGGGTTTACTGGGAAGTAACCAGTAAACCAGGAAAATTATAATTATAACCAGTAATTAGTAAAACACCTAAATTATGTTTAGAACCAAATAAATGAAGAATTGGATAGATTCGTGAAGTAGATGACATTGCATTTCCTCTTCTGTAGCATAGGATTTACTTCATAGAGTTGAGAGGACAAAGTGAAAGATAACAGGTGCCAAATTATTGTATATTGTTAAGATCTGTGCAGTTACTTCCTTTTTTACAAGCCACCCTAATGAGAGAATTTTGAGGTTGTACAGGACATTTTAAAAATCTTGCAAGACCTATCTTATCCGGCTTCGAAAAAGAATCTCTTGTAAATATGACAATGAAAATTGACTCATTAAAATTGACATTATTTTTTGTTTTCTGGATTTTAAAAAGTTGCGTTATTTCATTTCTCAAACAAATCTTTTAATTTAATAGGTGCATATATTTTCCAGATTAACATTTGAGACTCCAGTGTTCATAATTACCCAGTGATGTAACTTACCTCTTAGTCCTTTGAGAACAGATTAGAATATATTTAAATAGATCCTTATAGCCTTGTGTCACAGCATAATATTTTGGTCCCCCATAATTTTATTTGATCAGAACTTGCTAGTGTTTTTTCCCATATTTACTGACATTTGCCCACGTTAACAAGTGTATTTTCAAATGTGAATGGGCAAAAAACTCAAGGACTGTATTTGTGGCAAATTGTATAACAAGTTATCTTAGTTTTGGTTCTGTGGAAAGTGTAAAGCATTCCAACAAAGGGTTTTAATATAGGTTTTAGGGTTTTTTTGCACCCATGCTGTTGATTGCCAAATGTAATAGTCTGATAATGATGCTGAATAAATGTCTTTTTAAAATTAAACATAAAAAGCCACCTGCCTTGCCCCCTCATCTCTATAGATAACAAAATTAAGACCTCAGCCAAAGTCACGCCAGAGATTTATACTTTTCCTACCTTTTCCCTCTCCATAATTTTGAAAGTTAAAATTCAGACTTTGGATGATTAGCTTGGATGTTGGTTTTGTCACTTTTAGATGACCTTAAGCACATTATTTAATCTTGAATTTCACATCTATAAAACATAAAAAGTAAAAGTAGCTGCCAGTTTCTGAGAAGGAAGCCAAGAATACACAATGGCAAAGGAGAGACTTCAACAAATGATGTTGGAACGTTGAATGTCTACATGCAAAAGAATAAAGTTGGACCCTTACCTTACACCATACACAAAAATCAACCCAAATCAGATTAAAGACCTAAATGCAAGACGTAAAGCTATTAAACTCCTAAAAGAAAATAGCAGGAAAGCTTCCAATACTTGGATTTGGTGATGATATCTTGGGTATAACTCAAAAGCATAAGCAACAAAATAAAAAATTGACATGAGACTACACTGAACTTAAAAATTTCCACACATCAAAGGAACCACTCAACAGAGTGAAAAGGTAACCTACAAAATTGGAAAAAATCATTACAAATCATATATCTGATAAGTATTGAATATGTCAACTATAATTTAAAAAATAAATACTCAAATAAAAAATGGAAAAGGCTTTAATAGACATTTCTCCAAAGAAGCTATACAAATGGCCAATAAGAACATGCAAAGATATTCAAATTACTAATCATTAAGGAAATGCAAGTAAAACTACAACAAAATATCACCACATACCCATCAGGATGGCCACTATCAAAAGAAGAGAAAATAAGTGTTTGGTAAGGATACAGAAAGTTGAAACCCTTGCACAGTTTTTGTAGGAATGTAAGATGATATAACCATTATGAAAAACAATATGGAGGTTCCTCAAAAATAAAAAAATAGTTACCATATGATTCAACAATCTCACTTTTGAGTATCTAACCAAAAGAATTGAAAACAGGATCTCAAAGAGATATTTGCACACCCATATTAGCAGCAGCATTATTCACAATATTCAAGAAGTGGAAGCAATGGAAGTGTCCATCAAAAGATGAATGAATAAAGAAAATGTAGTATACACCAAAATGGAATATTGTGTAGCCTTAAAAAAGGAAATTGGTCATAAGCTACAATATGAATCAACATTGAGGACATTAGGCTGAGCAAAGTAAGCCAGTCACCAAAGGACAAATATGGTGTTATTCCACTCTTATGAAATATCAAACATAGTAAAAACCATAGAACAAAGTACAAAGGTGGTTGCCACATAGTGGGGGAGGGAGAATTACTGTTCAATGGGTTTAGAGTTTCAGTGTTATAACACAAAAAGAACAATCTGTTGTACAATAATGTGAATGTATTTAACACTACTAACCTGCACATTTTTAAATGGCTGATGATAAAAATTAAGGTTATGTGTTTTTACCACAATAAAAAAGAAAAAAAGTAAAAAAATAAAAGTGTATTTTGCTTTGTACAACCATGTTCCTGAAGAGTAATAGGCAAGGCATTCTTGAAAATCAAATCACTGTAATGTAATAAATGGTTTTTTACTTGTTGCACATTTCCTCTTAATAATCACTCCTTGTTTTCATTTTGCATGGGCTAATTGCACAATTTTCTTACCTCTATACCACCCACTCCCACTTATCTTCCCCATATCTCTAGAAAAAGAGATTTTTCTGAATAAACCAAAAACTTTTAAATGTTTTTTGAACAGATAAAACATTTTTTCAGATATTTTTCTTTTAGCACACTTCCAGCAGAATTTAAAGAATTGAATACCATTCTCATTATTAAATATTATTCTAAAGACTACTTTGCACCCAAAAGAAAATCAGCAAATGCTGGGTGAATAAATGAATATGTTGCTTCTTTGGGACTTTTTAAATCAATATGCCAAGAGTTGCTATATATCTCTTTACATTTTTTTTAAATTTTATTTTAATTTATTTTTTTTAAATACATTTGTCTCTGCCTCCCCCCCACCACTTTCCCTTGCCCCCTCCCTCCTTCCCTCCCTCAGCTCTTCACCTTTGGTTTTGTCCATGAGTCCTTGCTATATGTTCCTTGACTTTCCCCTTCCCTTCCTTTTCCCAGTCCCCCCTCCCTCCTTCCCTCTTGTCTCTGTTGGTTTCTTTTCCTTTCAGTGTTGCTGGTCTTATTTTCCTTGCATCTTTGTATTGTTGGTTAGGTTCTGCTTATAGGTGAGATCATATGGTATTTGTCTTTTGCCCCCTGGCTTGTTTCGCTTAGCATAATGCTCTCCAGTTCCATCCATGCTGTCCCAAAGTTTAGTAGTTCTTTTTTTCTTTCTGCTGCGTAGTATTCCATTGTGTATATATATGTACCATGATTTTTTGATCCAATCATCTACTGTTGGGCATTTAGGTTGCTTCCAACACTTGGCAATTGTAAATTGTGCTGTTATGAACATTGGGGTGCACAGGTTCTTTCGTATTGACGTTTTGGTGTTCTTACGGTATAGTCCCAGCAGGGGAATCACTGGATCAAAAGGCAGTTCCATTTTCAGCTTTTTCAGGAAATTCCACACTGGTTTCCACAGTGGCTGCACCACTCTGCATTCCCACCAACAGTGGACTAGGGTTCCCTTTTCTCCACAGCCTTGCCAGCACCTGTTGTTTGTGGATGTGTTTATGACGGCAATTCTGACCGGTGTGAGGTGGTACCTCATGGTGGTTTTGATCTGCATTTCTCTCATGGCTAGTGATGCTGAGCATCCTTTCAAATGCCTCTGGGTCCTCTGTATCTCCTCATTGGAAAAGCGTATGCCCAGATCCTTTGCCCATTTTTTGATTGGATCGTTTGTCTTCTTGGAGTGGACTCGAGTGAGTTCATTATATATCTTGGAGATCAAACCTCTATCTCATGTAACATTAGCGAATATATTTTCCCATACAGTTGGCTCACTTTTCATTTTGCTAATGTTTTCTT